AAGAAAGGCTTCTGTCCTGGCAATTAAGCAGCTTAGCATCTCCTCCCCACGAAAACCAGAATATACGCTTTTTTCAAGAATGAAAAACATGAATCACAACTGAAGTCCAACTTCTTCACTGGCTTATGGTTAAACTTCTAATATATTTTCAGAACCATTTTAACAAAAATATTCTTCATAGTTGCTCCATCTCCATCTAGGACTGAACTAAAAACAAGTCAACTTCGTGTGGCTCTTATCTGATTTACTTGATAAACACTTCTTGCTCATGGTCATTATTCACCGTCCATATTTACAAGCTAGGGAAATGTTATTATCTCAAAGTCCACAGAAAGGTTTCCAGCCCAAGCCACTTGAGAGAATCATGATGTCACAGAGCCAGGCCAGCCTTACTTTGAAGATGCAAAGGAAGGCTGTTTGCGAGGGTGCTGTGTATGTTTTCTAAAGGAGCTTGCATTCTGATTCCTTCAGAGATGGAGCCACAGTGGATAAACCTCATGCATTGCTCTGCTTCAAAGGAAACAGAAATGTAAACAGTGGCAGCACACTAGAGTCGGGTTTCTTTGCTTTAGCTACCAAGAAGTCAGCAAAGAAAATCCAGGTATTTACTTAGGTTTATTATTATTATTGTCACATGTTCTTTTAATGATTGGAAAACAAAATAATCTATCCAGAAACAGAGTACCACAGAGCCTCAATATCATTACTTTTCAATAATCGCCTGAGCCAATTTTTTTTAAGTAAAAAATAAAACTAAAATGACCCTTTTGCTGCCTGTGGTGCTTGTCTTCTACTAGGCATCTCCAACGCAATAATTCATAAAATACAATGCTAGATGAGACAAATGCAGCCTATTTAAGAATGGGTTCAAATAATCTAGTATTGATTAGCAGCCATGTTTTTTTTAATAATAAGGTCTGAACAATGAACTTCTCTTTCTACAGAATGATTCCTCTCTTCTAAGTAAGGAATGGATTTAAGTATAAGCTTTTAACACCTACAAAAAGGGTACTCAACACGATTCATATCTGGAATGTAGCTCCCTAAGGCAGACTGAAATTTAAAAACAAAATACACCTTCTTTCTTTGAAGGCCGATGGAGAAATAGCTTTCATCAGTCAGGAAGATACCATGAGCTACAAACAGCTCTGAAAAAAAATAAATGAAAGAAAGAGCGAGCTAGAAGACCTGGCTTCAAAATTAGCCTCTAGTACGTTCTAGCTGTGTGTTAGTTTCTTTATTAACTGCTTGGTGCAAATCATTTCATTGAAAAGTGAAAAAGTCCTAGAATGTTTTCCTGACAGTACCAGATGTTCAGAGATTTCTTTAAGGTTTTGCCTATGAAGAAAATTATAAACAACGCCATCCTACAAGAAGCAAGAATGTGCAATGGCAGCCTCCACTGAGACTTTGGCCTAGGTGGCCAGATTCCTATTATCTTCTTGGCTCTCCTCACTCTTGCAGTCTGAAGAATGGGAGCCATCCCTCAGTTCTGCCTGTTTCCTCTTCTGGTCTCTTTCTTCCTCTCCACAAGGTCTACGTGACCTATATGATCTTACTAAATGTGTTCATTTCTGCCAGGGAATCTTGATGGCTTTCCCTCCTCCCATATAATAACACATTTCCCCTCCAAATTTCTTCTCCAATCAACTAACACAGTGAAATGAATAGGAAAAACTTAATTTATCTTTCTTAAAATCAAATCATATTCACACACACACACACTCACGTTCAAAATTGAAGAGCAAGTATAAAAACAAGTGTTGGATATTCATGATTTTCAATGGAATATGACATAACGTATTTTTATATAAATGCAAATAAAAACATATGCAAATTTATAGTCACAGAAGTAGAATATTAGAAAGAGTCTTACTATTCTATGAATTTGTGAGACTTTCTATGTATGTATTAGTTTTAGTTCTGGGGGTAAATTAAGATAAGAAGGTAAGATAAGGAAGTTCAAAAGTGAGCAATCAGCAAGGTAAACTGGAGCTAGCAAGCTTCGAAAAATGAAAATATTTGATGGATTTTTTTTTTTTTTGCCCAGTGGATAGGAACAGAAACTAAGTCTTGTGGGTGGTAATTATAAGGAGACTGATTTGGTTTGCTTTAGAATATATTCCTTTTTTTAACAGTATTTTAGAATATATTCTTTTTAACAGGTTGCTATGATAATACTGAGTTCCCCATAAATCAAAGTATTCAAGAAAATGATGGATATACTGTTTAACTCAGATGTTGATTATATCTCAGATTATTCCAATAAGAGAAGTCTCTGATTCTCTATTCTAAATGTCTTATTGAACAATTCCAAGAAAGTAGAAAAGGAAAATGAATCACTACCCAGCTCCTTTTTTAAGTATTTTCTTTTTTCTATAAGAGACTGTGCTAAACTTTAGGGGGAAACAAAAACATAACAAAAGTAAAGTATGCTATGCTGTTCCCTGCCTCCAGCCCCAACGGAGATTACACACCAGTTTGGAAGCCAAGACTGATGCATTACACATAAAGCAGTTAAATGGGAATAAAGACCATGAAGCCAAATATTTAAAAATTGATAGGTAGTAAAACAGTAAGTTCAGAGGTCAAGAGGGATCATAGGCTAAGCAAGCAGGATACATGAAAAAACTAGGACTATAGTCTGACCGCGAAATGACCAACAATCTCATACACTGAATGAGTGTACTCAAGCTTGAATAGGTTTTGCAGATTATTCTTGCATCATTTTCTCTAATTTAAAGTGATCTCAATTGTGCATGCATGTGTGTGAATGTGGTACCTACTTGAATAAATATATAAGCATGTGTAAATACATATGTATAGAGCTGTGTATCTCTACTTGTGCCTAGAAAGAAACGCCGAGAGTCTCTATATGAAAATATAATTTCTGGCAGAACTTCTAGGCCTCCTCCTAGGAAAACGGCAGATCTTAGACAATCTTTCACCTCTTGAGTTAGTTCTGTAGATCCACAGGGGAGGAAAGGGGTGCATTCTTTCAAAATTTCACACTGCTCCCAATTCCAAACAAATCAAGCAAAATGAACATCAGTAACAACAGTAAGTACAAAGTGATAGCAGAGGGAACTCAGCATGGTCTTCGTGATATACTCTGAAGTACAGTCCAGTAAAAGATCAAACCAAAATTAAGCAAAATTGAAAGGAAATGAAGAATGTACCTTCACTTGTTTCAGAACCCAAAAAAGAACAGTGTATGAGGGAAAAAAAAAATGATGAGCGAATAAGAGTCTCAAAATTTACTGAGGCCTTTTAACTTTAGTGGAAAAAATTTTTGGAAATAATAGCGGCCAGGGAATGAAGACACTTAGTATTCCCTTGGAGTCCCATGCTCCTCTCAGCTACTCATAGATAGTTACTTGGCTGGTGAAAACCAAAAATAGTAAGATTTGGAAATAATCACAATTGGGTTGAGGAACTAGGAAAACATGCCCAGCCCAAAGGCGTTCAAATGCAATTTTTCAGAGCCAATCTGGCCCACACATGGACCTTCATTTATTTTTCCTGATTATGTCTGTGTTGGAAACCAGGGATTTCTATGATTTCAAGGGTCCACATGACCAGTTTTCAGTATGAAAAAACTGGTATCAAATACCAGGCACTGTTGGGGGTGTTGTTCAAAAAAAAAAAAAAAAAAGTGATTTTCTTTTTATAGGTACATTTGACAGAGACTTTTAACTCTTTTAACCATAAATGTATTCAATTTAACAACTTTTAAGTCGTCTTTGACCTTGAAAAAATAAAACAGGAATGTGCCACTGACTTGGTTGGTGGAGGCAGGGAACGTTCAATCAGAATAAAATTTAAAAGGGGAAATTATAAGTTTGCTTACATTTAAGAGGATTGGGTATTAAGCTCAATAATGAGGGTTTCTTACTATGAAGCACATTAGAACAGGGAATTGATGTCTGAAAACTGGAGTGTGGCGTTTCTGGCTCTGAATCTACAGCAAAGCTCTGAGTCTCAGATTCCTCGTCTGGAAAATGGGCTGAATAATATCAATTTATGTTTAATCACAGGAATAGGATCAGGGTTAAAGGAGATAACATATATCGCGTGTGCAAATAACCATAACCTGTGAAGAGCTATGCAAATACATTCCTAGCATTCAAAGTGGTTAACAATAGCATTGCTATTTTACACTTATAAACAAATGCTGCAGTTGGCTTGTCACTAATTTGAAGAAAGGTCTAAATGGACACAAACAAACTTTCAGGGAAGAAAAACAGAGCTCTAGGTGGGATCTACATCTGATATAGTTATATTAAACATTTTGGAACCATTAATTTGGCGGTTGTCTCTTTCTTGGGATTTTAAAAAAAATTATAAATTCTCATTCTGCATACCCAATGTAGACATTTTTACATTTTTCTTTATGGCTTGCTTCACTGGTAGTTTCCTACAAGATAATGGTTTGCTCCTCCCTGCTCTCTGAGCAGCCTCCGCGGGAGTGGATACGGAGGAGAGACTCTCTGTTGGTGGTAGGCTCTGTTCTGCAGAAACCCCCTAATCCTCTGTTTACCACAACATGAGTCTATTGCCATAGAAATGATAGTTGAGATCCCAGATTCAACCTCACTGACTTCACAGCAGGGCCTTGTAAAAGGAGAAGCCATGCTAACAAAGGGAAAGCACAATTTATCAGAATAGTAGGCAGTCTGTTGCCTTGAAAGGGTAATTGTCAGCATTAAAATAAAAATGCATGAATGAGCTATGTTGTTGGGTATGCTGTAGTTTATTTTCTGTGTATTACTGCCCGACTAAGAGTAGTAATTTGAAATTTTATGTCATTTAACAGTTTGCTTGTAAAGGTCAGCAGTTTCCCTTGATTGCATTTGTCTTATTGAAATAAGAAGCAGATTCTAATTAATCTTGTTGCACAACTGATGTTTCTGTGGTCAAAGATTTTCCCTTTTCATGATGTGTTGTTTTTGTTTGTGTGTTTATTGTGTGCGTTTGTTTTGTCTTGTTTCTATTAATAGAAGAAAGTGAACCTGAACAAGATACTAAAGGTATTTTTTTTTCTTTTTGCCCTGCTTCTTTTAAATGTATGGTTCTATTCGATTGTTTATTTTTGCTGACCTTATAAACAATTCTAAGTGCTGCTATTTTTTTTAGGGAATAACAAACGATGTACAGGGAATACTGTGAGCATTTGACCGAGTGTTATTAGATGGGCTGCTTTATTTTATAATGTATTTATTGACTATTTACTTTTATTAAGTAAACTCTGAAAATGCAAACAAATGACATAAATCAGCACAGGAATATAAATCTCACACAGATTGGAACAGAAAGTTACCTTTTGACTGAAAGCCTTTTTTTTGTGGGGGGAGGGAATGGGGAGGGGAGGGTGTTACAATTTTTGGAGGAATGTAAAAATGTTAAGATGCCAGCTTAGGTTTTTACTGTTATTACTCCAAGAGGACAAGTATTATGCAACTGCTCCAAACCAAACCAAATCAATCAAATTTAAATTAATTTTAATTGCCCACAGATACATACATATATTTAGTGTAATATGTTTAGAGGAAAGTAGCTGGAAATCAAATTTGTTTGGGGGAAAAACCCTACCTTGTAGAATAAGAGTTTTTCTTCCAAGAAAGCATCCTCTGTCCTGATTAAGATTCAAACTTTGTGCTGTTCTAACCTAACCTTTTATGTTTTTTGGATAAGATTCCCAAGTTCTCATACAGTAGTTTGGCACTAGGAATAAAACTCAGGCTGGTAGTATTAGAAATAGCACCTCCTTATCTTAGGATACTTTTCTATTTCTAAACATCAGCTGCTTACAACCAAATTTAGATAAAATCATTTCACCTGCCCCTGTGTGATTCTTTTTGTTTGTTTTTATTTGCTTTCACTTCAACTCAGTCATTGCTGGTTAGAATCAAGTAACGCCAAAAAACAAAACAAACAAACAAACAAAACCCTCCTTCAAGGACACTAGAATAAAATAAAGAAAGGAAAAAATGAGAGAAAATAAAATCCATGTGAGCTCACTGTGTCCTTTGAAATAATTACTCAGAAACAGAATTTATAAGGGACTTAAGTATTCCTCCGGTCCTACTCCCTTAACAAGAAAGGAGAGGTAATTCATCTCAAGCCAAACTGCTTGTTCATTCTGGGACTGCCCGAGGTCTCCACTGCACCACCACTGCAATTTCAGACTGAATAAGAGCTCTATCTCCTTACTACAAATTCAAATTACCCCTTAAAATGACAATCAATAGTAAGATTTATCATGTTTCTGAAAGTGCTTTGGAAAATGGAAAGAGAGAAGGAAAGAGGCAAGGATGGGTGAGAATGAGAACATAATATGGTTACGTTATAAAGGACTTTGGAAACACTGGCTGCTTAAGTCCAATTTTGAAAGTATGGTTTTCAACCGGCAGTTAGCACTATAAATTTACCCAAGAGAAACTGAAGCCCAAAACTCATGAATAAATACCACGAGAGAAAACCCAGGGATAAAGAGATTGCCCGTGTCTATTTCCCATGATGCAGATGAACAATGATTTGCTTGCCCACAGGAACTGGAGAATAATGGATAAGACTATAGAAAGAAGAGTTGCATCGTGTTTTTTTTCTTTAAAAATCCATACCAAAACAGTTGTAAACATTTTCCAAATTACTAAGTAATGTTGTACCCCATCTATTAAGTAACTTGTTTATGTAACAAAAACACTTTTATACTGTTTTTGATGCAAATAAAATGCAAGATAGGGATATTCAATGGACATATTACTTGATATGAAATATACCACATTACTTTTAAAACTGATAACCTAGAATGCATTTTCAGTTTGGGGCTACCAGCAAAATAATGGGAGTTTATTACTGAATTACATCTAAGCTTATTATTACAGGTGTATTTTTATCGATGGAGGTTAGTCTGGCATTTATTTTTAATTGCAACTGGCCTTACTGTTTTCAATGTTTGATAACTATGGTGGTATTTCTTTCATCCCTCCTTCACCTCTTCTGCTTGAAACTGGTAACAAACGCAGGAGGGTATAAAAAAATATCAGTTTTATTGTTGATAAAGCTGGATTGAAAAATAAAACTCTACTTTTTCATCCAAGAATTAGGCTAACATCTGTTTCTTCATCCTCCTCAGGCCCTCCCCACTCTTTAACCTTCCACCCCTAGTTGTAGGATGGAGAAGCCCTGAGCTGGGACACTTGATGCACATTAACCCCATACCCTTGTTGTCTGAGGGTAGCTGGGAGAATGATGGCCCCAAGAGGGCTGAAATACTCATAACATAGACAAGTCCCTTTCTCCGATCTCACCAATCAGAAGAGTCACTCATTCATTCATTGATTCATTCACTCATTCAACAAATATTTATTGAATGCCTGCTATGTACCATGCAGGGCTCTATCTACCTATCAGTCAGCCTGTGTTAATGAACAAAACAAGCTCTGCCCTGTGATGCTTACATTCCAGAGGAGGAGACAGCCAACAAACAAACAAATCCATAGTTATGACATGGTGATAAATGCTATGAAGAACCACAAACAAGGGTAAGGGAATGTGCTGAGAAACATTTTGATAAGGAGACATCTGTGACCTTCTTTGGGGGCAGGGGGAAATTGGCAGGAAGGGTGGAAGCCATCTTTCAATACTGAAAAAAGGGGGCAAGTTCCTACTTTATCTTTTGACAAGAATGTGGGTATGCAGAAAACAGCTTCCCTTTTATTCCTGGCCTTTTCCCCTCTCCACCCACTGGACTTAACAATGTGTGTGGAGAAGCTGGAGCTGGTGTATTGAATTAAGAGCATATAGACTGTGACCTGGTGAATGAGGGGGCACAAGCCACCCACACGGACTTGCAAGGAGCTCCCTCAGCATCCCAGCTCCCACTTTGGGGAAGTGAAACCCATGGGTTCGTCGTGATTGAAGGCGTAGCTTCAACACACCCACACAAAGGAAATAGAATCGTTAAGATTTATTATTTACGGGCGCCTGGGTGGCTCAGTTGGTTAAGCAACTGCCTTCAGCTCAGGTCATGATCCCAGGGTCCTGGGATCGAGTCCCGCATCGGGCTCCCTGCTCGGCGGGAAGCCTGCTTCTCCCTCTCCCACTCCCCCTGCTTGTGTTCCCTCTCTCACTGTGTCTCTCTCTGTCAAATAAATAAATAAAATCTTTAAAAAAAAAAAAAAAGATTTATTATTTACAAATCCCAGAAGCCAGGGCCTGGGGAGCATGCTGTGAGCCCAGGGAAGGGAAGTCCTCTGACCCCAGCCACAGAGAAGGAGACAGAGTGTGGGATAGCAAGAACCTATACTTAGAGGTGATTGGGACGGAGAAGACTAACTTTTCTCAGGCTTTACTCTAAGTGGTTATTTTAAAAGGTGCCCAGGAAAAGCAAAGTGGGAACTTATGATGGACATCCTAAACTCAAGTCCTTATCTAAATGTCTAGACTCTGGGTGTGGCAGGGTTATCATACTGTAAAATACCAAGGCAGCAACTCAAAAAAAAAAAACAACTTTGTTTTTTTCAAAAGGTGTTTTTCTCATCACACAATGAAACCCTGGCTCAGCCGAGGGTATATCTGCCCTTTTGGAGGAGGAGACCAGAAGTTTATCAGCACAGTCACACCTTCAGGAAGCCACTGCAAATGCCAATAGTGCTCCCCCAGAAGGTTCTGATATGGGACAGAGCAGTATATTAAGTAAATTCACGGCAAGGCCATGTTGACTCTATCTTATTTACCATCTCACATTATGCTTAGCTGTGTTATGCAGTATAGATCATCAAAAGTTCTGCAGTGAGCCCAAATGACATTCTAAATAATATAACACTAGCCAAAAGGAAAAAAAAAAAGGCTGTAACTTAGAACAAAATAAATCCTCCCTTATTACTGCATTTCCAGGAAGAATTTACAGTCCCCAAATGAAAACTCTTGCCTCTATAAACTAAAGCAGAAACAGTGTTTAGATTTCATTCTCCAATTTCTTAGTCTTCTTCTCTTTAGCCAGAAGGCTCTCTTTCAGGTTCAAGGGTACACAGTTCTCTGCAGCAGCTGCTGGCTACACTTTTCCAGTACCTATGGGCCTGAAATAATCCCACTCCCAATCTCTAAAAGATCCTGCTGTGTTCAGATTCTGAGAGGCAATGGGAACCATAAGATGATGAGTACAGTAGTGTCACACTCAAGAAACGTAAGACACACAGGTATAGTTGCAACCCCAACAAGTTCTTTCAACCAAAGGATGAACGTGGACTCAGCTATGCTGTGCAATCCAGGTCTCCATCACTGTTGGCAGACAACATTAGAAAAGGAGAAAATACCTGAGAGCAGTCAGTCTCTGTCGGTTGTCAAGAGTGCACAACCTGTAGGCTTAGGCTAAGTTGGGAGGAATCTCCCATCAGGTGGTCAGGTGGGTCACCGTGTGTCACTCTGGTAAATCTGGAAGAAATGTGCCCTGCCTCCTCGCTGGCTGGTCTTCTTGGGAAATTGAGAATTTCCGGTGAGGACAGCCTTGGTCACTTAGTCTTGATTGACACTTCCTTCAGACTCATTCATTATGTGACTTTTTATTTCCTATTTCACCTTGGAGCCCGGCTTTTCTGGAACTTCAGTCGAGGGACAGGCTTCACTTCCTCTTTTAAGGTGGCATTTTTATCCCTGACTAGCAGGACTGGCTCCGTAATTTGTGGGCCAGGTGCAAATGACAATGATTTTAATTCAAAAATCACGAGTAATTTCAAGGCAAGGACAGAGAACGTTAAACCAAGCATGGGTCCCTCTTAGCACGGTGCCCTGTAAGACCACCCAGGGCCTCTTACTCTTGGAGCCAACACTGCTGACCTCTATGGCTACAGCCACTCACTCTGCTAAGAAATTTCTCAGGCTCTATATCACCTGCTAGGGAAAATTTTCCCACATTCTGTTTCAACTTAGAATCATCCCTCATAGAATTTTGATCTAAAACTGTTGTAGAGGGGCGCCTGGGTGGCTTAGTCAGTGAAGCGTCTGCCTTCGGCTCAGGTCATGATCTCAGGATCCTGGCATCAAGTCCCGCATCAGGCTCCCTGCTCCGCGGGGAGCCTGCTTCTCCCTCTCCCTCTGCCCCTCAGGCTTGCTCTCTCTCAAATAAATAAATAAAATCTTTAATAAAAAAAAAAAACCTGTTGTAGATATTTCTGAGGCTCTTAGGACCCATGCCTCTGCCAAATGTTCCTCCTCAGAGCCCTACTTTTTTTCAGTTTTGGGGTTTTCTAAAACTTGATGCTATTTAAATGGCAAAAGAAGTGTGTGTCTCATCCCATGTTTTCTGGAGCTGTGGGGTAGGCTCACAGCAATTTTTTAAAATGTTATTATAAAACTTTCAATCTCACAAAAAAAGTAGATACAGTACTATAGTGAACCCCCATGTTCTCATGACCCACCAGCAACCATCCCATCCCCAATTAGCACTAATTTCTTAGTACCATTTACTACCAGGACTGTGCAATTGTTATCCAATTATCTCAAAATATCTCTCTACATCTGATCCGTTAAATAAGAATCCAAACAAGATCCACACCTTGCATTTGGGTTATGCCTCTAAAGTCTTTTTAACTCTATAATAATTCCCTCTTTCTCCCCGCCCCACCCAGTACAAGTTATTTATTGAGAAAACTAAATAATTTGCCCTATTGAGTTGTCTATATTCTGGATTTGAATGAATAGCATCCCCGTAATGTTGTTTAACCTGTTCCTTAACCTCTTTTTTTGTAGGTTGGTAATTAGACCATAGGACTTTTCAAAAGCAGGCTCAGTTTTGTTTTGCGGGGCAGATTCAGCTACATTTTAAACATCTGATGCATTTTTTTAACCACCTGTTGCCTTAAAGATGGAGCCTTCCTTGCTTTTTCTTTCTTCTGGCTTTTGTGCCCAACACTATATTTCTAACATGCTCTTCTGGATTCCATCTCTTAGACTCCTCAATATCAAAAAATAGGAAATTGAATTAATCTGAACCTGCAAATCTAAAATTAGAATCTGCAAAAAGGATTCAGTTGTCAAATCATATCTTCCCCGAACTTTCTCTTAATTAATCAGTAGGAATATTAATTACCTATTCAGTCTCAGAATGGAATATTAATTACCTATTCTCCTGCTCACACTTGACCTAAAATATTTCTTTCTTTCTGGTCCAATGTGCTCATCTCATTCTCTAAAAAGTTGGACAAATTTTTTCTGTCCTCCACTATGATACACTTGAAGATATAAAGCATTAATTATTTCATTAATTCAATTAAACACTATTACTTTGGTCAGGCACTCTTCTAGGTACTGAACAAAACAGGCTAGGTTTTTGGTTGCTGAAAATTCACAATCTATGGGGGTGGGGGAGAGGCAGACAATAAAATAACTTCAGATAGTGGTAAGGTCTGTAAAGACAATAAAACAGGATGATGAAAAGTGAATGGCGGCAGGTTATACCTTATGTTGGGTGGTCAAGGAAGGCCTTTCTGAGGAAATGACACTTAACCAGAGACTGGATGATACAAGGAAAGTGCCACAGGAAGATCGGGGGGATGAGTGCTCTAGGCTGAGGGAAAGCATTGTCAAGCTCCTAAGGAGGGAATAAGCTTGGAGTGTCCTTGAATGGTGAGAAACACAGGGTTATAGCATAAATGGCTTAGAAGCCAGGGCATGGCATTTGGTATTATACTGAATACAGAGGGAACATGGAAGGAATTTACACAGGAGAACACGATTTGATTTGCATTTTTAAAAGACCACTCCAGGAGCGCCTGGGTGGCTCAGGTCATGATCTCGGGGTCCTGGGATCGAGCCTCGTATCAGGCTCCCTGCTCAGCTGGGAGCCTGCTTCTCCCTCTCCCTCTGCTGCTGCCCCTGCTTGTGCTTTTTCTCTCTTTGTGTCAAATAAACAAATAAAATCTTTAAAATAAATAAATAAAAGACCACTCCAGCTTGAGCATTCCCTATAGGAGTCACTCATCACTTCTGTTTTCCTAACAGTTTTTGCCAGAATCCTGCGGGCTCCTGAATCCCACAATGTCACATTTGGCTCCTTTGTGACTCTGCGCTGTACAGCAACAGGCATCCCTGTCCCCACCATCACCTGGATTGAAAACGGAAATGCTGTGAGTGCCATCTGTATGGGGACTTGTCTGGGGAAGACTCATTGGAGAGGAATTTCAGGACAGACCACATATTTATGATGTTACCCTGATCTCTGTCATTGGTCCCACCTGCACCTCCATTTTTCAAAGCCTTCTAGGATTTTCATCTTAGAAGTCACTGCCCTAGAAATTGAACTCCGTGGGTTTGCTTCTTTCCTTGTGTCGTAAGTGAAGAGTAGAAAATCAAATTTTTCCTTATGCTTTTGTGTAAAAGGGAAGAAGTAATAATTCCTTCCCACACAAGTAAAATAATTTTCACAAAACTCACCAGCTTAAGAATTAGTTCACTGGCAATAAGTCAAACAGAGAAAGACATGTATCATATGATCTCATTGATATGAGGAATTCTTAACTGCAGGAAACAAACTGAGTGTTGTTGGAGTGGGGGGTGGGGTGGGAGGGATGGGGTGACTGGGTGATAGACACTGGGGAGGGTACGTGCTCTGTTAAGCGCTGTGAATTGTGCAGGACTGTTGAGTCTCAGATCTGTACCTCTGAGACAAATAATGCAAGATATGTTAAGAAAAAAAAAGAAGAAGAAGGTAGCGGGAGGGGAGGAATGAAGCGGGGGAAATCGGAGGGGTGGATGAACCATGAGAGAAGATGGACTCTGAAAAACAAACTGAGGGTTCTAGAGGGGAGGGGGGTGGGAGGATGGGTTGGCCTGGTGGTGGGTGTTGAGGAGGGCACGTTCTGCATGGAGCACTGGGTGTTGTGCACGAACAATGAATCATGGAACACTTCATCTAGAACTAATGATGTAATGTATGGGGATTAACATAAGAATAAAAAAAAAAATTCAAAAAAAAGAATTAGTTCACTGGAGCTGGAGGCTACTTTGATGAAAAGTAATCCAGAATTGGAACCCATAACCATCAGTTTAACATTCTTGAATTTATTTTTATATGGATAATAATAACATATATTAAGTGATCACTATGTGCCAGACTCTCTTCTAAGCACTTTACATACAAACATTCATTTATTCATTCTACAAATATCTACTGATTATCTCCTGGGCGTCAGGCACTATTCTAGGCATAATGGATACAAGAACAAACAAAACAAGCAAAATAAGTCAGTCAGATTAAGACAAATACCATATGATTACACTCATGTGTGGAATTTAAGAAACAAAACAGACAAACATAGGGAAAGGGAAGGAAAAATAAGATGAAAACTGAGAGGGAGGCAAACCATAAGAGACAGTGAACTCTAGGAAACAAACTCAGGGTTGCTGGAGGGGAGGTGGGTGGGGGGATGGGGGTAACTGAGTGATGGGCATTAAGGAGAGCACTTGATGTAATGAGCACTGGGTGTTGTATACAACTGATGAATCACTAAATTCTACCTCTGAAACTAATAAAAAAATAAAGTAATATTTTCAAAAAACAAAACAAAACAAGTGAAGCTCCCTGCCCTCAAAGAGCTTCCATTATGGTGGGGAAAGACAATAAAATAAAACAAATAGGAGAATATTCTATGCAGACAGTGTCAAATACTGTGGGAAAATAAGACAGAATGTACAATCTTAGGAGAAAGATTCCATTCTCAATAGAGTGGTCAAGGAAGCCTCATTTAAGTGAAGACATTTGAGCTAAGATCTGAAGGAGCTGAGGAGGAGGCTATGTAAATAACTAGGGGAAGAACCCTGGGGAAAGTCTCTAAGATAACATTGCACAAGGTATGTCAGAGGAATAGCAAGTAGGTCAGTGTGACCAGAGGTGAGTGAGCAAAGAGGAAAGAAGTAAGGGGTGAGTTTAGGAATTATGGATCATATAAGCTTATGCAGAGCATTGGAACAACTTTGGCTTTTATTTGAGTGGGATAGGATGCCATTTTAGGTCTCTTTATATTATCTGTTTTCCTGCTGACTCTTACTCATTGTGCTTTGTTTCCTTGTGTGCCTAAACATCTTTGACTACATGCTGTTCATTGTTTAGGGGGGAAAAAAAGGTCAGGGATTAATCTGAGGTCCAGATAAAGATACTTCTCTCCAGAAAGAATTTTTGTTTATTTCTGCCAAGGACCAGAGACAACAGCTTATCTTGGATCATCTTAAACCTAGTTCAAGGTTTGAAGCTCCTTGGTCATCCCAGATAATTATAACACAGCCTGCAATGCTATGTGGGCTATTTCACTTGTAGTTCACATTGATAACCTCCCTGATATCTGGTTCTTTGAGATTTTGGTTTATTGTATCTCTTATTAGACTTCTCATCTTTATGGAACCTGAGTTTTGATTTCTGTCTCCTTACTCCTCAAAGGAAACAAATTTTTCTGGGTTGGAAAAATGTCTTAGTGAGAATAAAAGTTTCTAAATTTGTTATATCTGGTAAAAACATTTTTCCAGAATTTTAATTTTTTTCAGCGTGAGAATTGGTTTGATAACCCAGCTGACCAATATCGGAAATAAGACTCTTTCGTGGATTATTGTCATAATTATATTTTATAGACTTTAACCACTTGTCTATGTTTGGTTTGAATTCGGTCCCTAGTTTCTTTATGAGGTTAAAGATGTTTATTTTAATCTTAATTTAACAAATGTTTTTAACATAAGTATGTTAGATTCAATAAAATGCTTTGTCATTAATTATTTTAACTTTGTGACGAACATGTAATTTTTCACTTTAAATTGGAAAGTTTCCTTTTCATTCTTTAAAAATGCCGCTCTTTTTTTTGTGTTCTTTCAATTTGCTGTAATTTTCCTTAGGATCATTGCATCTATTTTCAAAAATGGGAATACTCTAGTTTTTTTGGGCTATCATGTTCAGGTTTTGTTAACAATATTATGCCAGCCCTACAGAATCAATTGGCAAGTTGATGTACTTTCTTTTGATACAGAACTCAAAGGGAGGAACTTGAGATGCAAATCTCTCTTAAACTCAGGGACATTTTCCTCTGTTGTATCTTTAATAATTGTTTCTCTCTTCTCTACATTTTTTTTCTATGCAGAACATAAAGATTAGGAAGAATGTAGTTGTAATAGAAGTTCATTAGACCTCTATTAAATAAATTTATTTTAAAACTACAATCTTTCTAATCTTTATGTTCTGCATATTTTTGTGGATGGACAGAAGGAGTCCTATGTAACTAGGTAGTCCTAATGTCTACCATAAATATCCCCCACAAGAACCCACTAAAGAAAATCTTATTCACGAGTTCTAGCCCATGGACAGATGCCTCAGTCTAGTGCTATATGCACTCATAATAATTCATAACATTCTTCTGCTACTTTATTGACTCAAAGTCTGCTCCTACTTACAGCCCTGTTATCTGAACTCTAGAATTTTCCATGACTCTATAGGGAAAATTTATCCATTCTCCTCTCAGTGAACTTTAAGGTTTCAGTGACTTGGTTGATATTAATTTTTCTATCAACTCAGTCACATCTCTTTGTATCTTCCAGAAATTGCTGAAAACTTCTGGCCCTTTGATTATGATACCCTTCCACCTTTCTAAAGATTTATTTTTCCTAATTTTAGGTTTGATTTATCTTTTGGGATTTTGGGTAAAGGACAGTTAAACATGTGGGCTGAGATTATCTTTGTAATTCAGGTGCTGAGCATGGCTTGCAATGTATTACAACCTCATTTAATATCTTCTGTTTCTTTTAAGTCTCTTCAGCAGGGTGGGTTCTTTTCTCACCATTGAGGCCTACCCCAAGCAGGCTCTGTGACTTTTCCAGTTCTTTTAGGTGATTTTACATCACAAACACCATCCCAATTTAGTAATTCTGACTGCCTAGCCCTAAGTAATAACCAAAGTTTCCAACTGCAATTCACAGATGCAACCTTTTTTTTTTTTTAAGATTTTATTTTTAAGTAATCTCTCCACCCAATGTGGGGCTCGAACTCACCACACTTGAACACTCTAGATGGAGCCAGCCTACCTTTCTTAAGACAACTGCATGCATGCCACCTGCCTTCCACAACAGTCCTGCAGTTAGCTTCTTCTCTCACACTCATTCACTCTTCCCCTACTTCCTAACTGCTATTTAAGACTCCTACAGGTTTGGGGTTGGAAGAAGGGAGGAGCAGTAATTGAAGTGGAAAAGTTCTAATTTAACTGACACTCTTTTAGGTTGGCTTTCCATCATGGTGCCTGAAAAGTATTTAAAACAACTCTTTCCATCATGGACACATTCATGATTCTTGAGAAATCAAGGGATATTCAAGATGAACCCCAATGACTCATTTTTCCTCAGAGCAGCCATCTCCCTCTTAGCCCCCAATTTGTTAGTTGATAGGAAGTCTTTCTGTGGGGTCCCATCAATGCCCCAAAGAGATCTTTGGGGAAGACAAAATAACTCCAAACCAGATCTTCTATAGAACCTGTATATCCACAAACTCTTAGATCCAGACCACTGAAAAGAGCTACCCCCTTCTTTGCTTCTTCCATTGGAGCTACTATGCAGCCTGCTCTCCCTTCAGATTTTACAGGTGGGTATCAAATGCATCTCTGCTGTGTCAACAAATTGCAGGTGTATCAGGGTCCCCAAGACCACCCTCAAGTTTGATGATTCACTAGAAGGACTCGCAGAACTCAGGAAAGCCATTATCCTTATGGCTATAGTTTATTACAGCGAAAGGATACAGATTAAACTCAGTAGTGGGTAATCAGCTGTTCTCTCCCTGTGGAGTCCCATGGAGAGCACTTAATTCTGCCAGCAATGATGGCAACATGCACAATGTCTTGTACCAAGGAAGCTCACCTAGCCATGGTGTCCAGGGTTTTTCCTGAGGGTCAATTACAAAAGCATGGAGGGTTCACACGAATGACCTTAGCTAGTCTCCAACCTTTCCAAAGGTCAAACTGATACAGTATAGCCTAGAGTCCCTGCTGAACAAAAAGAGCTATTCACCATAATGTGCACTGTAACATAAACTATCTGGCATGGCTCATGGTCTCAGATATACAAAGACACTCTTATGAGGTAGGATTTTCCAAGGGATGAGAGG